GAGTTCTGTATGCAATGAATCTTGTCCAATCCTCTTGAATTCAGCAATCCCAAAGTTCTTGCACCTTGGATGATAAAGTTGTATGGCACGATTCTTGCTCAATTCCACCAAATTCTTGTGTGAATTGTGATCTATGAATGATGGTGATGATGATCAGATCAAGAAAAATGGAAATTGGTAGAGATTTGAGAGAGTTTGAGAAGCTTTTGCAAATTGGAAGAATTGTGTATAACTTGTGTTTTGATCACAATTATTCACCAACCATGGCATGGAGCCACTCAATGCAATATATAGATGAGCTTAGAAAGTCCTAGAACTTTGGAGAAGCTTCCCATGCACACTTTCCCTTGGATTTGGATTATGTAACTTCATTTGTAAGTAACCAAATATAACTCTCAAATATTGAACCAAACTCAAAATTCTACTTTTGCCAATGTTCTTAAAACATTTTTTCCAATCAAAATGACCTATAATTTCATCCCATTTGGCCAAATTATGAAAAATCTCAAATTTAGGTCATTTTTCATTCATTAAATTCACCAATTTTGAAACCTTGAGCTATGAGTCTTTCCAATCTTTCATGGTCACTTTTCTAAACTCAAAATGTCATTTGGAGCAAGTTTGATGTTGTGAAGTTTTCCATTTGAAGCTTCCTTGTATGAGTTTTGGGCATAGGCTTGAAATGACCTGTAATTCTCAGATGACCAAAATACCCTTTGCTTGCCAAGACCATAAGTAGAGTTCCTCAAATCATATGAAGGAATACCATACCATTATAGAAAGCTAAGACAATTAGGAACAACTCTTATGTTTACCAGAAATTCATTTGAAATCTCCTTGAGGGGTAAAAATTGCTTGGAAGACAAGTAACTTTCACAGACAAAATTTCAGATACCTCAGATGACCTGTAACTTGCAAGGACCATAACATGAGTTATATAAATCTCCTTGATGTCTTCCACCACTCAAATTAAAGGTCTTGAGATCCTCTACAAGTTTCATGTTGGCCAAGGATCCATTTGAAGCTTGCATCTTGACTTATCTTGCTTGGAAATTTGACCTAAATTAGGGGATTTTACACAGAAACCCTAATTTAGAAACTCCTCTTCTCCTTGATTTATCTTGATTTATTCTTGGCACATCACCATATCCTTATCCACATGCCAAATGATGAACCCCACATCTCTCAAATAGACCTTAATGCCTTTCAACCAGTCAATTGACCTAGGGTTGACCTAGAGTTGACCCTAGATGAAATCCTAGTTGACTGTCTTCAACTGCAACTCTTGTGATCATATAAATGACTTGCCTCCTTCTCCAAATGACTTTCTAATCTTCCATGATGTCTAGATACTCTCCATGCTCAGCTCAATCACAGCTCACAACTTCTTTGATGATCCTCAGATACCCTCAGATAGGAGATAGATTCACTGCTTGATCCACTGACTTCTTAGGTTTTCCCATTCTTCCTGATGACTTGGACATGCTTGAATTTGAATAGTAACCTCTTGATAGGCTCATAGAGATGAGAATAGTGCTTGGTCCCTTGTTGGATGACTTGCTATGCTATGCTATGCAGATGATTAGACTATGTACATGACTCTATATGCAAATGCTAATGCAATTGAAACATAAACCAAGTGAAATAGGTTGAGCAAATTTTAGGGTGCAACAACTTCCTCTTGAAGAAATCCACATGAGTAGACTTTCCAATTTAGATCAAACCTTAGATAATGAACCTTTTCTTCCATGTAGTCCAAGATAGACAAGTTATCTAATTTGAAATGAAAAATGACAAATCGACCCAATTCGTACCCACATGCTCGATATGCAATAAAATGATGTATGGTATGGCGAATGTAGGGTATAAAGGCTAAAGGCGAAAATGAGGGTGTGACAGGATCCTCCTCTTTTTTATTAAAGACTTATACCCTTTAACATTATAGGATAGAATATTCATGGAACAAGAATTGCTACCCCCAACTTCCCTTTATAGTTCTTCCTATCTCTGGATTCCAATTCTCTGACAATGGTCTCAAATACTTCGTCATCTTCATCACCTTCCACCCTCAATTCCTTAATAAGTCGCCAGACCTTTGCTGACACACCTTCAATCACCCTTCTCACTCGATCATTTCCCTTGTTTACATCGCCATTGTTAATAGAGTCACAACATAAAGCGGATCCCCAGAGAATTTGAAGCTACATTCTTCCGCATCATTAGAACCGGACAAGGAGCAGTCAACCCTCTCATGTGCATACGACTTCACAACACGATTACACCCAGAATGAAGGAGAGCAGAATAGTAGAAAGGGGCATAAGGGATTTTGACTTTTTTCATAGATTTCCTATAAATTTTTTGTTTTCTTCACTTTGGGCCCCTGAATGAGACCGCTTCTCCCAGAGGGAATAGAGGCAATAAGGTCATACAACTGGATACTTGAGCCCAAGTTAGCCAACAGGAGATCCAAATTAACCATAGTATTAACCTTGTTAAGTAAATCTAATTGGATCTCCAAAGTTTTGGTTGCATTGACTGAATCCTTGTCAATGGACCTAACACGTCCCAACACCAACCCACTACAATCACATGATAGATCATCTCCCTTGCGACAGCTGCCACACTTTTCACAACATCCAACAATTGCCTTTATGCCTGACACATTAATACCCCATACATTTTCCATACCAACAAATTTTCTCAATTCAAAGCTAGTTGATTTGTCATGATCCCTATTACCCGTTGAATCCTCAGTATTCATTTTTTTCCTAAGAATTGAGATTTCCAAGATCATCGCCACCTTCCTCCTCCACCGTCTCCGACACGCCCTTGTCGTCATCGAAATCCTCAGATTTTTCATCCTCTGATGAGCTGAAATCTCTCCCCTTTTTACGCACTGTTAACTGCTTTGGGACATGGAAGTCTTCTATGAGTTTAATTATGAAAATATTTTTATTGGTTTTCATGTTAAAGGTTTCGTTAAGGTTCAGAGAATATTTTGTTTTTATCAGGAACCTAGCAACATCGAAACCTTTATGTCTTTCCGTATTCTAGTCGCAAGTAATAAACTCTCCCACACGTTTAGAAATGAACTTGAAGAAATCATCTCCTCATGCATGGCAAGGGAGGCCATAACATTTCAATCAAGTTAATCGTTCATTATCAACTTCACCCGGAGATCAATGACAGATATCGTCGAACCAAGATCTAAACCATTTCTCATCTTCTTTGATCAATGCGTTTAGTTCCTCTGAAGATGATTCTTTCAGCAAGCAACAATTGGAACCCATGGGTGAGGCTTTTGTCATGAAAAATCCTTCAGCATTAAGGGTTTCTTGTACGTTGTACGTTGATCCAGCTTTTGACATGACTCCCACATATGCCTTTTGAAATCGAACCATATCTTCTTTTTTTCTATATTAAAATGCAGATGTGCAAATGATAGCTTATCATCCATCATGGGATTCAGTTTATACCCCTCACCAGTTCTACCCAAGACTTGAGCATAGGATTTCCCAAGAACACCCTCATTTCTATAGTTTTGATAGAATTCACTCACACGATTCAGACCTCCAATGTTCCCAGAAGAGAAGTTTTTCTTCAAGCTACCATCCCCACGGTTAAGCCTTGGGGTATTTGCAAACAATTCCTTACCTTTAATCTGGATGCTGTCAAGTTTAACAGCAAGGATTCTATCATTTTTCACCTTTCTGTACCTAAGAAATCCATACATTTTACCCCTTTTATCTCTCTTGACATAAATAAAGACTTCAGCAACCAAACCATATTCCTTGACAATACTGTACATCACTCTAGCCCCATACTCTTTAGGAAATTCGGTAAAGAAGAAAGACGTGATCGTCTTGTTAGCTTCCACGTTTTTTCCCCTCCGATCCGACCAAATAGAACATTTAGCATTATCTTTTTTATTTCTGCAGTGACGAAAACTGTATCATTAAGCATGTTGAAATGTAAAGTACATAACCAATTTTATCCAAATTATTTATTAACCAAATATTTCAACAACAATTTACACAAACAAAACACCAATAAGTTAAGTCTGATCCATAAAAATAAAATGCACATAATTTTTTTATATATCGGTTAATATATTTTTGATTGTGTACATTTTGATCATGTTAAAAATCTATATGAATGGTTAATACAAAATAAAGATCGGAAAAATATTTGTCATCAATAACTATAAACTTGAACAAATATTTTTCTTTGATTCATAATTAAAAAGAAGGAAATAATATTTGTCACCAACAAGTATAATAAAATTAGAGAACAAAACTTATCACTGATACAAGACATAATATAAAAAAAAATGTGAGACCAATTTGTCACTAATAACTATAAAAAAACACAGGACAAACTTTTGTTTCTGGGAAGTATAAAAAAAAATTAATTATATTATACAAAAGCAATCTATTAAATTATATTAATAGTGCATGGTCATTGAAAAATATTCTATTATTATTTATATTGATTAATTTCATTTAAACAGGATAAATTCTATATTATATTTATTAAATTTATATATATATATATATATATATATATATATATATATATATATATATATATATATATATATATATATATATATATATATATATATATATATATATATATATATATATATATATATATATATATATATATATATATATATAGCTTTAATAAAACATTTTTTTTTCTTTTTTTAGTAATAATTATGTTATTGATCTACCACCTATTTTGGGGGAGATTAGAATAGAATATAGTAAATAGAAAGAGTAGTTAAGTCCTAAAATGAAGGAGAACGTGAATGAGTGGCAAGAATTGAGTGGAGGTAAAGCGTGCATCATCCCTCACCCATCATCTATTTCCAAGCAAACCCTTATTTAAGAACTACATCTCTAGATCACAAAGCAACACAACAACATTCACAACAACAACAACATTCACAACAACAACAAGAAGAACACAAAAGTAACAAACTTTTAAAGTAAAAATGTCGTGGCAAACTTACGTTGATGATCATTTGATGTGCGAAATTGAGAGCACTGGACACCATCTCACCGCCGCTGCTATCATTGGCCATGATGGTTCTGTTTGGGCTCAGAGCTCTTCCTTCCCTCAGGTATATATATATATTCATCATCATTCCATTCTATTTGTGTATCTGTGTTGTGTCCGGTGTCTGAGACTGAGACTGATCAATTTTTTGTGTGATTCTATTTCAGATTAAGCCTCAAGAGAACACTGATATCATGAAAGACTTTGATGAGCCTGGCCATCTTGCTCCTACAGGCTTGCACCTTGCAGGAGTCAAGTACATGGTGATCCAGGGAGAGCCGGGAGCTGTCATCCGCGGCAAGAAGGTAAATCATCATTCAAATGTTGATACAAATGTATATTATGATGTCTTGTGATTTTTTATGATTTGTGTGTTTGGATAGGGCTCTGGAGGGATCACCATAAAGAAAACTGGTCAAGCTCTAGTTTTTGGTGTTTATGAGGAACCTGTGACTCCTGGACAATGCAACATGGTTGTTGAGAGGTTGGGAGATTACCTCATTGATCAGGGTCTGTAGACAAAGATCCTAAGATGATTTCGACATCACTTTATTACTTTGATATTATGCTTTGTTATTTGTATTTCTTTTACGTTTTTCATTTTTATATCATCTTTTGTATTTACTACATTGCAACCCTTATTTGGGAGTTGTTGCAGATAATAACAATTTGAGACTTATCCAAATTTTCTATTGTTATCATTGTTTTGTTATTTCATTACTCTCTCTTAATGTCTTAATGTATTAGGAAAATATAATATGTTTATACTATCAAGAAAAAATATAATAATGTTCATGCATGCATGAATTTACCTAAATATAATCTTCATGCATACAAGAAGATATTCAATCAATTGATTCTTAACTTTTTGAACAGTAAAAGAACATTAATACATTTTTTTAAATGATTTTGTTGTCCAACTATAAAGTTAACTCTGTTGTAAGTTGCTTTTGCGTTTTAAACAATTATGCCAATAAAAAAAACTTGTTCATCAGTTGTGATCTCAATTCCAAACCACATGTCTCATAGGACCTACAAACTTGACTCCATGCAAGAAATGTTGCACTCTAGAATTCTCACGCCAGAAATCATATTGAGTTAAGAGAGCTTTTGTGAGAATCAATTACGCTTTGTAATCCTATTGCTTTAATCTGTCTGTGAGACCATCTTTATAAATTAAGAGTTGAATCATATTTACCTCTTCCACTGCAAGTTTAACATTACGATCTACATTTTCGAAAACCATTTGATTCAATGTTTTAAGCGTGACTTTGAGTCGTTTCAATTTATTGCAACTAAAATATATGATTGTTGATAACTGGTTTTGTCCATATTTCTTTAACCAATCGAGCAAAATCCATATAAGTGATAATTGGAAAAATATGGTACATTGACACATGGAAATCATTGCACTTATTAACTTGATTCACAAGTTAAGAGTATAAAAACCCCATCTTTGATTTAAATACTAATTATGCTAGGATAGCTGATTTATACATTTTCACCAAAGCCCAACTTCTTTTGTAGGTATTTATCCAAGGTAAGAGTATCGAAGGCAAAGCAAAAAAGACAAGCTTCAACAGACGTGCTAATCGACCATAAACGATGTTGTTGAGCCATACTTGATAATAGCGATTAATAACTAGGATTCATATTAGGATTCATATAATCGATCAAGAGAATACATGCAATATAGGTTAATGAAATCTAATCCCGACAAGTGTATATATATGTTCATTTTCTTAAACATTTACCATTTTACATTCCTTTAATTTCCAAAATCAAATATCTTGTAAACCCTTCACTTAAAATCATATTAATTTTTGAATGTCGGTTATATCACACTAGTTCATGTGAATACGATAACAACAATACTTACTTTTGATTCTACACATCAAAATGACGCAGTTTCTAAGAACTGACATTTAAATATTACAAACATAGCGACAATTTAATTTATATTGTTTTAAGTAATTTTGCTATTGTTAATATTGTGTGTGTATATATATATATATATATATATATATATATATATATATATATATATATATATATATATATATATATATATATATATTATACACCCATCATGTTGCTCCCTTGTGCTGGTTAGGTTTGTGAATTTTGTTTATGTGAGGTAAAGCACCAGAAGATCAATTGCTTTTTGATCCCAATATCAAAAGAACATCTCGAAGAAACAATAACGAAACCGGAAAATGCAAACAATTAGCCAAGAAAAGGAATATAAGAGCTTCTACTTCAATTTCTTCAATATCTCCTCAACCAGAGAAAGTTATAGTTGAATAAGTTAAGGCTGAACAAGAAAGGATAATGCCATGTTACAATAGTCCAAGACAGTTAGCTCATATTTTCAGATCTCTAATCAATACCAGACAAATCGAGATGAAGATTGACTTGCTTCAAATCATCTATGTGAATCCTTTTGCTAGACTTGACGATAAAGTTCCATATACTCATCTTACCAAGTTCTATGAGCTTGCCTGTACATTTAAAGCATATGAAACACAAAAAGAAGATGTGATTATGATATTATTTCCTCATTACTTGATTGTTAAAGCAAAAGATTGGTATCTAGACCAAACAATTCATACTATGACCAATTTGAATTTACTTGAGGAGAAGTTTCTTAACAGGTTTTTCTCACATAACAAGTTCATGGATACTAAGATAGCTAATACCATATTCACTCAGGGTTCAACAAAAACATTGTGTGAATCATGGGAGTGTTACAAGTCCATATTGAGGAAATGTCCAAATCATGGTTTTGATGATTTCACACAGACTCATATTTTCTGCAATGGACTTCAACCGCAACCCAAACTTCTATTAGATGCATATCCATGTGGTTCTTTAATGGCCAATAGTGCAGATGAAGCAATAGTTATTATTGATCGAATGAAACTCAATGTTCATCAGGTTCAATATAACAAAGATTTTTTTTACAAAGGAAAGCTATAATCACTGAATTAGGAATAAACGACACAATCTTGGCTCAGAATAAATTACTCACTCAAATTGTGGAAGAACTTAATAAGAAATTATCAAAACTTCCATAAAAGCTCAAGGAAATGCATGAGGTACCAAATAAACCCAAACAGGTTGCTTTTTGTGAACTTTGAACTAGAGATCACCCAACTGGTTTTTGTCCTCCGTCAAATGAAGAAGTGAATTATTTGAGGAATCAGCAAAGATAGAGGAAATACTAGAACACTAATGGTTATCAAATAGGAAACAATGCCAATTATGGCCAAGGGTGGAGGCAAGATGTGTGAGTGTGAGTGCATTCTACAACCTAGCAATGTTTTGAATGATGTTAAAACTAGAAGTGTGACTTAGCATTTTTGTATATTAGACGATATCATTGTGGTGAAGTAGTGACGTGGATTGGGTACATGATGAACACCATTTACCAGAAAATGGCAAATTCTGCATTTTTTCTTCATTTTCTTTCTCTTATTCCGATTTTCTCGCACGAACGCTCTTATTCAACAAATACCTGAAACACAAACATAATACGACATAATAATACGAACAACAAGTAAAACAACATTAAATTGTGTGTGAATCAAGTATGTAATACCCTAGTTTTTATCCCTAAGATCCCACATATCATTTGAATTTCATACCACAAGCAAAATCACAAGATTTGATTATCTTGTCTTCCTCTGCAGGTTTGTCTATGAGGAATATCATTGGGCACCCTTGTTTTCTTGTATGTTTGGTGTTTGTTTTAGGTTTATGTTTACTAACCCTTAATTAAAATCCAAAAAATATGTTTGTTTCCTTTTCTTTACTAACTCTTTTTTAGGAAGAGAATTTGGGTCAAGAATACCAATCAACAGTCCTTTAGCTTGAATGAAATTCAACTGAAGAAGTCAAAGTTGATATGCAAACAATTCAAAATTATTTGATTAAGAGTTTCCCAAGATTTGATCAACTTTTATTCAAGAGACTCCAAGGTTCATGCGTTTATTTTCATTCCTTCTTTGACAAGTCAGAAAAATCGAGCTAGAGTCAAGACAACACATCAAAAAGCCATTTTTTACACTTTTTCACTGTGTTAATCGATTAACACATTTGTACATGCAAATGATTAATCGATTAACCAGTGCATTTTTTGTGAAAATGAGCCAAATTCAAATTCTGCAGCATTTTGGCACTAATTTTCAAATATTTCATCATGAGAATATTCTAGATCACCTCATTTTAATTGCCCTACCTTATCACAGTTAATTTCCACCATACACCTTCACTAATCACCATTTGATCTTGATTTTGCCTCCAAATTCAAATTCCAAGCCTAATTTTGGTTCCAAACCAAATTTCGAACCACCAAAATTTCCAAGCCTAAATTCTATAAATAGAGATCTCATTTCATTCATTCTTCAAGCTTTGATTGCTAAATTCACCTTGCTAAAATTTCTCTCGATTCCCTTTTATTAACAAATTCACCAAAGCTCTTTCTTCATTTGAAATTTAGTAAGTTCTTCATTGGAACTTGTTAGAACACAGATTGGTTCTTAATAATAACTCTTTGTTTTGATGATAACTGTTAGGAAATTTTATATTTAAGAATTATATACTCTAAAATTTGTTTGAGAGTTTTACTGCAGATTGAATGATAATTAACTATCTAGAAGCAAATCTGAATTGTATACAAGAAGTTATCCTGACTCTGAAGCGCCAGATGCATCCTACAGAAGATTCTGATTGTTGTTTACAGAAGATCCTGAGCGTAGTCTCCAGAAGGATCTGAATCAAGAAGCTAGTCAGAAGAATCTGAAGTAGAAGAATATGAAGCTAGTCAGAAGCATCTGAAGCTGAAGCATCTGAAGCAAAAAAGAATATTGTTTGAAGAGTTTCTCAAAGCATAATTCTACAGAAGTTTCTGAAAGTACTAACGCTGTCAAGTACTGAAGTTCTGTGTCAAATATGCTCTGATGATCAACACGCTGAAAGCACACATGCTGCAGAAGACTCTGATACAACATAGTTCTGAACATCATTAGAAGACTCTGACTCATTCAGATTCTGAAGAACTTGCTGAAAACTGAAGAAGAAATATTCAAGATTATATCCGTTGGAGTAAATCAACGTCTCTTTCCTCATTTGTGCTAGACACAATTACACAGACAAAAAGGACTTTTCTGTGTTATCTACTTCTAGGAAAGGTCACTTGATGTGAAGACAAAAAGGCTCAGACCTTTTTGGGACTCTCTTTTCAACGCTCAGCATCCTTGGATCAGCTGCCTATAAAAGGAAGTCTCCACCAAATTCTTCAGTTACACAATTTGCTGAAAAGAAATCATATTATTCTAAGCTCTCATTCTCTCATATTCTTCTTAGAATTTCTTGTACTTAAACTTAAGAGAAAAATCACTGTTGTGATAAAAGCTTTATAGAAGCACTAATACTCTTGTATTTGATTTACATTGATTGTAAAGGTTTTCCTTAAGAGGATTCAGTTGGAATCGGTAGCTCTTGAGAAGACTAAGAA